AAAATATGGAGAACGTTAAAGGTCAACAGCAAAATAAAATTAGAAAATTACATAAAATTTTAATATGCAATAATTGAGGATTGATATTTAAATAGGGAAATAGAGACAATTAAGAAAAGAAAGTGTTATACCGGAACATAACTATTCTATTGTTAATAGACTCTCCCACATATAATGAGTAGTAGTAGCAGTCGCCAGGGAGCTGTGTGAGTCAGTCGATGTCGGACATTAAAGTATCAACCACCACAACTAGATTGCTGCGTCATTAACTATTATTTCAAGTTCTAAACGTTTTTTACGTCGAACCTTTTTAGGACCGAATCAGTGAAATATGTGCCTCCACTGTGAAACTACTCTACAACAGAAAGAAAATACACATATTTGAAAGAAGAACGAACAAAAATCTCGAAGAAAATCAAAAAAGAAAACCTTATAAATAAGAAATTAATCCCGTAACAACAAAAAAAGGAAACATTAAACAGAAATTGAAAATAAAAGGAAGACAGAAAAAAAAATCAGGCAAACTTACAAAATGAATATTAGCGTAGAAAAAGAAACGAAACGAGAAATGAACGTAATGAAGTATGAGACAAAATGGGAAGAAACGAAAAATGACGTCTTTTCCAAAATGGAGTCAAGTGAAACGTAAAAAAAAGTAAAAAGAATATAAATATGAAGAGGAAAAGCGGCAAGATAAAATGGGAAAAAAAACGGATAAAAATATAAAAGAAAATTCGTAGCCCATTGGTTGAGAAGAGATGAAAGGAAGGAAGCTTTAGGGAAAACCAAGCAAGAAAAGTTTGAAAACAAAATGGCTTCTGAAGGTAGGAAACAAAGAGAAAAAATGATCTTGCTTTGATTAGAGATCCTAAAAATGATTATTATTGTAATACAAATGATGCACAATCTAAGTTAAGAACAACATTGAAATTCTAAAACATGAAGAATATATTTTAATTAAGTAGAACAGAGATACAAAGAAGAAGAGGAAATAAAAGAAGCTATTGTCACTAAACGGAGTGCGGATATAAGCGCTATCAGAAATAGCGAAAAATAAGGAATTATACTTAAGTGAATATGTTAATGAAGGAGTAATTAGAAAAAGAATAACATTGGTCTGTGTATATAAAAGGAGGTATTAACCTGTAGGACTGAAAGAAGAAAAATAAAATAGAAAATTGAAATAGGCGAAAGGTCTTAAATAAAACAGAATGGTCATTATGGTAAAAAGAAGAAAGAAAATATCGAAATTTATTTGGAAGAGAATTAAAATGCAAAAGGTTATCCTAAAGGATAAAAAAAGAAAAAAAAAAGGGAAAATTTAATGTAACGTATAGAAGATAAAGACAGATCATAAAATGAAATGAAGAAGAAGAAGAAGAAGAAGAAGAAGAAGAAGAAGAAGAAGAAGATGATGATGATGATGATAAAAAATAAAAGTGCGCAGCCCGAAGTCAAACGTGGAAGACGAAAGAGAAGAAAAGAAAAGTGTCGGAAGAGAAAAAAAAAAGAAAGAGAAAAGCAATTTTATTTCAACAAATATAAAAAGTAAGAACGTATCTTGAAATGAAATATGGAAGAAGAAAGAAAGAAATCAAAGAAGAAGAAAAAGAAGAAGAAAGAGAAAAAGTAGAAGACAAAGAAAAAGAAGAAAGCAAAGAAGAAAACAAAACAAGAAATTTGAAGAAGAAGAAAATATATTATTGTTATATATACGGTGTAATAGAGAAAGATGAGGTTAGTGTATCATAAAACGACAGGTGAGTGTAGTGAGTTTGATCCTCACTAGAAACCTCATACATTTGACCTTGTGCCACATCTAAGATACGATTAGAAAATCATCATAAAACGCCATGTAGAAGAAGAAGAAGAAGGAGGAGGAGGTTAAACGCAGAAGAAATTGAAAGCATAATTTTGAAGAAGAAATTAAAATTTACGCCAGTCGAAAATCGAAGCCTGCAAAGATGTTGAATCCGGGAACCAATGCAAACGCGAAACTGAAAAGCCCGAAGAGAATCAAGCAGAAGATATTTATACGTCGAAAATAAAAGTCAGAAAATCGTCAGAGCTTCGTTTTTCGCCACATTTTTCCCAACGGGTCTATTTAACGCAACGGCTGAAACAGTATCTGAAAACAATTTTCCTTTCGTTACGAAAAAAAACAAAAACGGAATCAGTTCTGCCTGTGGATTCGAAATTCCTTTGAAGCTTTTGTTATTTTAAAGGACGAATGACAAACAACACTTCAGGTTCGCCCCACCGTACGTTTGTTTTTAAATTATTCATTTTTTACCAGTTTTTTGCTATTTTTTTTGTGTTCATTTCTTTTCTATCAAATGAATATTTCAAGCTTTTCTTCACGAAAGATTTGATTTTGTTTATTTTTTTTACATCTCCATTGACACCGTTTATTTGTTGAAATTTCACTTATCTAAACAAGTATGATGCAATAGAAACGAATAACATGTTTAACGAGAGTGTTTTCACGATAATGTTGAAGATTGCTTACACAATGTGCCGTTGTCGTGAAGTCAAAGTAAATCTGGTGAACAGAAGAATAAGTTAAAACTCAGATGGCGAAGATTTGAGCAGAATAGTGTGGAGAAGTGAGACGAATAGGAGTGATGTCGTGTCCACCCGGGGGTATTTTGCCATATAAATATTTCTCTCGCTTTCCATGACATTTTCATCCGATATTTTTGAACATGCGGTCCTGCACAACTTCCGAGGTTTTATTGCTCTAAGTAAAACTTAGTAATACTTAATGCTTTACAAGGTCATTTGTCTTCGTGGTACATATTCTGGCATCCATTTACTAAAGGTCATCACGTATGTTACACACTTTTTTGAACCCCGCCCCTTGATTTTATTACCTTATAAATTGAGGACATATTTTTTTATATATATATATATATATATATATATATATATATATATATATATATATATATATATATATATATATATATATATATATATATATATATATATATATATATATATATATATATATATATATATATATATATATATATATATATACATATATATATATATATATATATATATATATATACATATATATATATATATATATATATATATATATATATATATATATATATATATATATATATATATATATATACATACAGATATATATAAATTTATATATACATACATATATATATACATACATATATATATATATACATATATATATATATATATATATATATATATATATACATATATATATATATATATATATATATATATATATATATATACATATATATATATATATATATATATATATATATATATATATATATATATATATATATATATATATATATATATATATATATATATATATATATATATATATATATATATATATATATATATATATATATATATATATGAAGAAAATATACGGAAAAAACAAAAATCCTAATATGCAATTATGCTGTTTTAATGTTAATATGATTTCAACGTCGGACGTTTCGGTCTAGTAGACCATCTTCAGGACACATTCATAAAACGTAATTAACATTAGACTATATTTAATTCAACATGAAAAGACGATGGACATAAGAGTAAGACTAATCAAAACAGACAACTGAAATGTTTCAAGATCAGCGTTCCGTTTCAATATGATCACGTCGGCGTCACGTGGGCGAAGTTGTGAAAACGTATTCCTAAAATAGAGTATTTTGAATGAAAAATGAAAAAGAATTTTATTTTAATCTAAAATTTATAAGTACGTTTGTCGAGCATTAATCTTGCTAGAAAAGGGGAAATATTAAAGAAGCCGGGTCTAGTATTCACCGTGCGTGAGATAGATATTATGCCTACCTCATAAATAGATTTTTATTATGAATATGTTTTAAAATCTTCACAGAATCAAAATCGAAATTATGATCGAAATTATAATGTTAAGCATGTTTTATGAATATGTCCTGAAGATGCTCTACTAGACCGAAAGATTCGACGTTGATATTATATTAACATTAAAACAGCATAATTGCATATTAGGATTTTTTTCCGTATATTTTTCTTGATACTGTCGGATCTATATCCATATATTTGCTTATATATATATATATATATATATATATATATATATATATATATATATATATATATATACACTCCTGTTTTTGATATTTGGTTTCCAATAACTTCTTGAAATATTCCATTTTGATGCAGGAAGTTTATTTTTTTACGTTGTGACTGTTAGTTTTATTATACAATCGGGTACGGCCAAGATTGATGTTCTCTAAAAGGTAATATTTGAAATATCTTGTGTCTTATGACGTCAGAAGTGCCAGAAGCTGACATCTTCAAAACTAACACAATGTTCTGAATAGTGAAAAACATATTTAAATAAATGAAAATGATTTCGGGATCAAGTGCCACTTAGTCGGAAGTTTTCTAGTTACAGCCATACGCTTATCTATTCAGCGTAAGTCAGTTTAAGATTGCCTTCCATCATGTTGATGGATCTACATGCTGATGGAAGGCAATCTTAAACTGACTTACGCTGGATAGATAAGCGTATGGCTGTAACTCGAAAACTTCCGACAAAGTGGCACTTGATCCCGAAATCTTATGCTAACCTCACGGATTGTGATTTCATTCTGCCTTCTCGAACTAAGGTTTTCCACTGACATAAAGTGAAAAGATTATATTGCTATGTCTCCTGGTAGGAACGTTTTTTCAGTGTAGTGCTAGAAAATTTGCTGCCATGAATCTATTTTATATATTTACATGTCTACCATTCGACTAGACTTTGAATATTGCGACCACCTCGGATTTGTTGCTCCTGTTATATATTTAGTGATTCTTGATAAAATCCAAAGGAGAATCTGCAATATTACTGATCTTGACATGACAACTCGGCTTGAGTCACTTTCTGCCGACGTAGCGCAACTTCTTATTGACTTTTACATACTTTCATAATAATTGATATGATTAACTTTCCTCTATGGTACCTACACTCGGCTCAGTGATAATGTAGAGAGGTAGATAATGAAAATGGAGAAAATGAAAATGTTGAGAGGTAGGGAATGTAGAGAGGTAGAGAATGAGAATGTGGAGAAGAAAAATGTAGAGAGGTAGAGAATGAAAATGTGGACAAAGAAAATGTAGAGAGGTAAGGAATGTAGACAGAGAATGAAAATATAGAGAATGAAATTTAATGAATTAAAATGTAGAGAGGTAGAGGAATGTAGAATGGTAGAGAATGAAAATGTGGAGAAGAAAAATGTAGAGAGGTCGAGAATGTAGAGAGGTAGAGAATGAAAATGGAGAGAATGAAAACGGAGAGAGGTAGTGAATGTAGAGAGGTAGAGAATGAAAACGGAGAGAGGTAGGGAATGTAGAGAGGTAGACAATGAAAATGGAGAGAATGAAAACGGAGAGAGGTAGTGAATGTAGAGAGGTAGAGAATGAAAACGGAGAGAGGTAGTGAATGTAGAGAGGTAGAGAATGAAAACGGAGAGAGGTAGGGAATGTAGAGAGGTAGAGAATGAAAACGGAGAGAGGTAGTGAATGTAGAGAGGTAGAGAATGAAAACGGAGAGAGGTAGGGAATGTAGAGAGGTAGAGAATGAAAACGGAGAGAGGTAGTGAATGTAGAGAGGTAGAAAATGAAAACGGAGAGAGGTAGGGAATGTAGAGAGGTAGAGAATGCAAATGTCGAGAATGAAAATGTAATGAATTAAAATGTAGAGAGGTAGAGAATGTAGAGATGCAGAGAATGAAAATGTGGAGAAAGAAAATGTAGAGAGGTAGAGAATGAAAATCGCACGTCATAAAATAGAGGTGGGCATTTGTGGTGTATGCGACAGTTGGCAGTCAGCGTGACAAGACACAGAGAAACGGTGTGAAGAGTATTCAGGGTGGTCGGAGTTCTCGCTAGTCAAAGTGAAGATCTGCTAGTGTTTTTAAACACAGGATTTTAAACAGTAATTTGGTCTTTGCAAACCAGACGCTCTCTGTAGCTATATGGTACAGTACGTCAGATCATATGACGTTTTATGTATAAGAATACAGTATGATTCCTGTTGGGGAACGTATATTTTCTACGAAATTTCTCCAACATTAAGGCCAGTAAATGTAATTAATACTGTTTAATGTAAAATAGCATTTATTTTAAAAAAATAACGTATAAACAGAGAATATATATATATATATATATATATATATATATATATATATATATATATATATATATATATGCTTTCGATAATTTCGGTTGAGCACTGTTGAGAGAGAGGTTAATTCTAAACAGAGGTCGTCTGCCCTAACCAAACTCGCTTCATTAAAGGAATTGAGCACTATGGTTGTTTTTCGTTTGTTTACATTCGTAAAAATAATACGCCAGAATTTCCCCTTCAATCTGCCGTGCTCAGGAATAGATACTCTGACTGATATCATTCGATGGGGTTTCGATCCCGGCTTGACCACTCGGATGTCTAGCCGCACTGATGAACTGTGATACAGGCCTATATGTGGATATATATATATATATATATATATATATATATATATATATATATATATATATATATATATATATCGGATATTAACACATGAGAAAAATCGCTTTTCACTCGCCACTTAACACCTACCGGGGAGATACATGGATGGTGTTGAAAAATTATTGCCATTATGGAGTGATTGTTAACATGTTTTATTCTTCTAAAACATATCATATTTAGGTCTAGTATGCATTGAGCCCTCTTTTTATATTGAATGTTACTTACAGTGGAATTATACTCAATCTCATTTTACCTGGATATATATATATATATATATATATATATATATATATATATATATATATATATATATATATATATAAAGGAAGGGGTTATAATAGTTCCACGAGAGAGAAAGTGTGCATATTACGAAGAAAAGAGAAACTTTTTGGTTGTAATAGGTATTTATTTTTTTTTTAAATATATTATCCTTTGTTTTCCATAATTTCGCTACAAGAAGAAAAGTTATTTCAAAATAATATTTAAAGGAATTACTTTTTCTTATGTTTTTCGATGTTAAATATTCTCCATATTAGGCATTCTCTTTTTTATGTGTTAGTTACCCAAATGTCTTTCTTGAACTGGCAGTGGAAAAGTTCTGCGTTAAGGGTAATAAAACAATTAATACTCGTCCTAGAAAGGGTGAGAAGGATATCTATATTATTATATTTTAATGAACCCTGTGTTATGTATGATGAGTTTCGTCCATAAAGATCTCATCGGTCTAAAGCAACAATATTCCTGCTGAGCGAATCACAAACGGAAACTTTGGTAGTTATAATGCACAGAGAGAAAACATTGAAAAAATATATATATATATATATAATTAGAAGATGCAGATGTAGAGCCTCCATCGATGAGTTTGGTTTGCATCCTCTCTCCTGTCGTCGTAGTGCAGGCCGATTTCCACGGCATGCAGCCATTAACGACATCATCAAAAGAGGTTTGAATGTAGCTGGGTTCCCTTCCCAAATCGAACCCGTAGGCCTCGACCGCGGTGATGGAAAGCGGTCGGATGGAATTACCATATTCCCTTTTAAAATATGGATGTCGTTGATTTGGGATGCGACCTGTGCGCATACATATTCGGCCGGTAATTTGATCAGGTGCGCAGGTGAACCGGGGACTGTCGCTCGGGACAGGGAGATAAAAAAAGAAATAGTTAAATATTCTTCTCTTGCTGATAGATTTTTTTTACTCCTCTGACAGTGGAGATTTCAAGGGTTATTGTCCCTCGTTCGATGGCGTTCCTTCGGAGGATTGGCGCGATTTCGTCTCGATTAAGGGACGAGCCTCGTGAAACAGAGTGGCTCTTGCAGCGTGTCTCCATGGTTCGAGATAATGCTTTCACCATCATTGCGGCTGGCAGAGGATAGAAAAAAAATTGTTTATAGTTACGTTGTTCTGGAATTGTCATCAATGGTCAACCGAACTTGTTTTGTTATATATTTGTTCATATAACAATTTATGTTTTTTTTTTTTAAATCGCGTGTTATTATTAAAAATAATTAATACAAAGATTCCTCTATCTTGGTTTCAACCGTTCTGTTCCGTCTAGTGGTTTGTATCACTTGATTTCCTACCATTTTTTAAAAATAATAATGAACGTTTTATTATTTAAAAAATAAATAAACAAACGCACAGCGTTGGATATGATAGCAAGAGAGTAGGAGTAAGTGTTGGAGGAGGAGGAAAATAGAAATAATAATAAGAAGAATATTAATAATAAGAATAATAATATTAATAATAATAATATTAATAGTAATATAAATGATAATAATATTAATAATAATAATATTAATAATAATATTAATAATATTAATAATAATATTAATAATGATAATAATAATAATAATAATAATAATAATAATATTAATAATAATAATAATAATATCAATAATAATAATAATATTAATAATAATGTATCTTTGAAGATATTCAAAAAGTTGTCAAAGTACAAGGACCTTGAAATAGAAATCGCGAAAATGGGAGAACATCAACAATCCCTGTTGTAGTTGGAGCCCTAGGACTGGTTGGAAAAGATTGCAGTAGACTAATTGAAGGGATTTCTGGAAGTCCATGCCTCAAGGAGATACAGGAAATTGTTCTGACAAGTACAGCCCACACCTTACGAAGGGCTTTATCTATGTAATCTTTTTTTTTTTTTTTTGTCAGTGGAAAGTGTCATGACGCCATTTCTAACCTTAGGTCCCTGGGCGGGACCCGGAAAGAAATGTGCAAACGCCAGAAATCAAAGAAAATAATAATAATAATAATAATAATAATAATAATAATAATAATAATATTAATAATAATAATAATAATAATAATGAATGAATGAATGAATGAATGAATGCAACTATTCGTAATTTGATTCAAAATGTTTTTTTTGGGAGGGGGGGATGCGGAAATGTCTTTATGCTAACTTTTCTTGTTTGCAGATGTTGCTACGTTTGTTCTTGAGTAGATGGATGGTGGAACAAGGTTCTGGAGAAATTGAAAAATTTATTAAGACATACGAACGACAGAAAATAGTGGAGAACTCTGATCGCCACACATCACATAAAAGAAAAGAAGAAGTATATTTTAGAATTGGTACAACTACATTATATCTACTATTCATTTTCTACTATTTAATAACTGACTTAATTACAAAATATTTTTAAAACTATTAAAGGAGCTAATTAAACTGTTTTTATAGTGGAAACTTTTTACGAGTCACTTATCGTATTAGCTGACTTTCCAGTACAAGGTATTGTAGTTCTCATCAGGATTTTGAAAACAAAATAATACACTAATTCTAAAATTTCACATAATCTGGAATAAAATCACATAAATACCTTCTTTCTGAATACAAATTAGATAAATACGCCACCTTTAGGTTAAAATAACGCTGTATGTAATCTGAGGAATTAATTGCTGTAGACTCTGAGCGAGTTGTCTGAGAGAATGCATCGTCGTTTACGGTAGGTCGCAAATGCCTCGGTAGATATGTTACTATAGCATTACCTAGGAATTTTCTTGGAGAATCGATTCTATTTTTCAACAATAATTTATACACGGATTTGCTTTTCTCCAAAAACCTAGTGATTTTTTTTTCTTATAACTGATGTATCGATTTTCAGATTTCCTTGTATGAAACGTATGTTAGGTTCCAGCGTATGATAAAAACTATCAATACATACATGTCCTTGTCTCTTCAACCATTGCATTTTTCAGATCTTTTTCTCCCCACATGATTTTATTTCTTAATGAAATACTACGTAAGAAGAAGACTTTTTATGAACCCTGTCGACTAAATATGTTATTATAGATATCTTATGTCTCTGGAGGCAGGAACGTATAATTATGGATGTAAGAGTTGTGATCTTGTAAATTATGTATTTTTCAGATGGAGCATTATCATTATCATAAGGTATTTTGAACATTCAGTGCTTCTGTGAAATAATTTTATTAGTTCAATGTAAAATTACACTGAGGATACGAGATCTTTGATTTGAGGGGGAAATGGTTTTATATATTTATTAAGTAACCGTATACAATATTGATAATATTTTCAAAATATGATTTAAATTTCTAAATAAAAATCATAGAAAGTCAACAAATCAATTTTTACCTTCTATTTTAAAATTAATAGAATTTTTTACAACACATTGACATGCGTCCAAATCCTCAAACTTTTGTTAGTGTTGATGTTATCGCTAACATATTTTTGTCGAGCTTTACAAACTCGTTTCGTTCAATTTCGTAAACCAGTCGATGAAATTTGAATAAGCTGATTTGTTTGGAAAAATACTTTGACAAAAAAGCTACCTCCTGGTTTAATAAATTCTTTAATTTAATTTAATTTTATTGGAGTTCATTGTAAACAATATTTTTTTCAGAAATATTTATTTTTTTTCCCTTTTTAACAGGGAGGAATAAATTATTAGGATTTCCCACTCTTGAACATAAACATACAAGTGGCCATGAATAAATATTTCTTTCTGGAGCCAAATTCAAACGTTTTGAAGCGTTTGGCCTTGTGATTTGATTATAGTTCTTGCAAATGCAGGGGATAATTGGAAACTGGATCTCTATCTATAAAAGATAAGATGTATGTGTGTGTAACGAATGCACGGCCGCAATTTTCGACGGATTTGCACCAAAATTCACATGCACAAGCTCCAAGTTAGTGGGAAGGCCAAGACCGACTTTGTATTTCCCAACTCCCATCGATAGTGGAAATAATCGATTTTTCTATGCTTCTACGGCAGTTTTCATGTAGTTTGC